TTGTGTAATAAAATGCCTCTGGCGGGACTCGAACCTGCGACCTCTCGCTGTCAAGGCGAGTGTCATAACCACTAGACCATGGAGGCTTCATGGTTGAACAGATTCAAATACCACCAGATACACTCTATTACACAATAGGTATGGCTAGAAACAAATAGGTGCATATAACATAAATCAAGGTAGCCGTTAACACTGTTTAATCATATATAAATCAACAAAGAAAGGTAAATACAGTGTTCGAATAAAGGACTTAATACATATATATTTACTGGTGGATCTCTATGCGATGTGGGGATCAAAAGAACAACAAAACACAAAGAAAATGCAGTATAAATATAAATTTAAATTACAATGTAGAAAAAGAAACATATTTTAATTACCATCATTTAAAGCATTATTATTATGTTAAAGAATATAATATATATATATATATATATATATATATATATATACATATATATATATATATAAGATAAATATACAAAAATAAAATCAGATACAATAAACGACAAAACACTCAGAAGACTGACAATAGGAAGTATAAGCCTTTGCTTCTCTTTGTCAGAAAATACTATAGTTGATGTATGATAAGTTCTGTAGAACCCCTTTATTGGGACACTCATACTTTGAGGGACACTTTTCAATTCAAAAAGTATATCATTTACTTGAACTAATGACCAACCCCTATTCAGGGGACACTTCTATGATTGAGATGACACTTTTTACGGTAGTTCCTGGAGGTGTCCTTAATAATAGTGTTCCACTGCACCATGAAATTGAGTGTTATTTACGATTACAGTTTTCTTCATATGAAATAACATTTTTGGATGTCCTCTCTGAGCTTCTATAGTTATTAAGATTATTCTAATGTAATAACTTGTAGATGGCCTCTCTGAGCTTCTATAGTTAAATTAATGTTTATTGGTATATTATTTCCTATGGGTATAGTATCAGAATAATGACATTAATGGATGTCTTATAGTTCATTTGAAGGTCAATTTTTCTTCAACACTAATCATAATGCCTTTTTACTCACTCATAGGTTGACATTTTGGAAGATGACCTGATTAAAAATGTTATCATACTACAGACTGTGCAAAAAGAGGCAAGTACACGGTATTGTACAGTACACAATTACAACATAATGTTATTGTTATATTCATGTCATAAAAAGCTTATTATTTTTTAACCCATGATTCTCTAAAGTTTTATTTGACAAACAGAAGTGACATGCCTATATATGGTCATGATGACATCACATCATGACCATATATGGGCATACAAAGTTTCTTTGTCGAATATGATTTGATAGTGTGGACAGATCTTATTTAGATAGTGGATTGTTTTATAGTTTAAAATTTTGTTTATTCTCAATACTTTTGATCAACTTTTCAGGTAAAACATCGAAGCCTGCCAGCACATAAAAGAATACGTGATATCATCGCAAACAAGGAGAAGAAATTCTATGTTTTCACCAACGAACATCATAAGTAAGCATACAAAAAATTATAATTAGACATTGGATTTTACATGAAAACAATATTAAAAAGAAATAACTCTATTTTGCAATAATATATCGGCAGGGCAGTAGCCATGCTACTCTCCGAATAAATGATAGTAAGTACAACATTTAATAAGAGATTGATCGTGGATTTAACATGAAAAATAATAGAGAAGACATATAAAATATGTTTTGGGATTCTAGGATTGAGACACAAAACTATTACACAGAAATTTGAATACTACAACACCAATATAAAGTCTTGTTTTTGCAACTCACAGCCCAGCCATTCTTTACAACTTTAAAGTCTTGCCATGGACATGGTCACACAATCCATCCCTGACCACAGCCTTACAAGCAGTGAAGACATCCCAGGACATAGACAGGGAGTTTTAGGGGTTCTGGCAAACCCAGTGATAGAGAAAACCACACCGGTCAAACAAACCCCCTACCCAAAAAGCCCATCAACATTTAAGAAAAAAACTTTCCCTCTATACCCAGTGAATGTATTTTTCACGTGAAAAGGTCAACAGGTGAACAAGTCACACCTCTGATAGCAGCCGATCCCGAATTGCACAGACCAAGATATAAAATTAAGTATATAAAATTTTAAAATGTAACGCTAAAAGCTGGTAATTTTAATTTTTTTTTTCTCAACATGTTTCATTCAGTTTCCAGTTTTTCTTCTTTTTTTTTTCAAAGAGACACTTTCATAGAAAGAGAGGGTGGTGAGAGTGCTAATGATTACAATGACCGTGCAATCAGGAATGCCACTAGCTGGTTTAATGGTCATCTGGATAGGTGTAAGCGGCACCCTGACCATCAGAATGATCATGTAAAAGTTGTTCTGCTGACAAATGATCAGGCCAATCGGGAAAAAGCAATCGGAGACGGACTGCAGGCCTACACAAGTATTGTACATTTATTTTCAATATTTTTACATCTTATGTTTTCAGGATGTAAAGCATTTCAGTAAAAAACATCGTCTATGTAATGTATGTGACGTTCTACTACGTATATCGTTTAAACAAACGTTCCACAAACTGTAGGTTGACCCAACAGTGAGTCACCAACATATTTAGGTGGATCTGCGAAGCCCTGACAGAAATCACCGAAATCAGCTAGATCAATTCTGTTTCTTAACATTATAAGGAATTATGATTCAATCTGCATATTTTGTCTGTCATGATACAATGAAGTACTATGAGGCTGAAATCACCATTGTGATTTATGATTTTGTCGTAATGTATATTTTTTATTTACATTTGAAATCCCAGTCCCAAAATGATGCACTATTGGGCTGGCTCTGTGAATTAGGAATTTGTGGATAAGTATCTGAATTGCCAAACTGGGCCCTCATTCAAATAGTTTGTGGAAGGTTTAATACCAGGTTAAATTGTTTGAACATAGGGCTAGAATAGATTTTCTACCTCTACTCTGCTACAGTACATACAATATAATAAAAATGTATTTGTTAATAACTGCATTACAACAACCCTTCTGGTCATTTTCTTTCAGTTCATGAATATGTGAAGTCGTTGACTGCTAAGCCTGAGTTAGTTGATAGACTGGCATTGATTGCCGAGAATGAACAGAAGATGGACAAGGTAAAGGCCTAGTGGTCAATGCAAGTGAGGAATTGATCAAGTGCCTAAGGTAGACGTACTGTAATACCTTGGTGGTCAGTGTGAAAAGGAGAGAGTGGTCAGATAACTATGTAGACAAGGTGGGACCCTGTTGTCCTTGAAAGTGACTAGGAATCAAGTGGTTAGCCAGCGAGCCATTTGGCCGTCTTTTGGATGGCCAACTATGATTTAAGACTGCCACCTATTATTTAAGACTGCCACTTTTACTGTGACAGCTTGGCCTACTCATACTCAGGTGTTGACATAGTGTGAGGTAGAAAGTTGTTGATTTTTTTACCTTGTTTTCTAGCATTGAATTTGTTTTCATTAAAGATACCAGTGCATTATCCCGATTTGCCTTTCCTAAATTGAATGGTTTTCTTATAAAAAAGAGCAGAGTCGGCTAAACTTGTGGTAGCCACTGTCTGTCAGTGCGCTGAACCGTGGAGGTCTCCTATCCCCTGTTAAATTCCCATCGCTGCTCAACTTGTATTTCAGCTGGAGGGCTAAAATTCAAGTTTGTGCACTGTCTTTAAGATGAGACGTTTAACCTGTTGGTCCCGTGTGCATTATGGCCCATGTGCTATTCAAAAAACACAGAAGGGGATTGTCTCACTGGAAATAGGTCTTCAGACTTTTGTGGGTTATTTTTGGTGTTTACACCAAATAAATTCATCCATCCATTCATTTCAAACTGATTTTTGTTAATCTATATTGATAAAATATTTAATAAAATGATGTTATTGAATATGATTTCTAAAACATTTTTCTTGTTACATAATTACGTTAATAAGGCAAATGCGGACATTATGGTACAAGGGAAAGTAATGTTTCCAGAATACGTTGTAGGCAACCAGCTTCACTTGGGGATTAAGTTGGGCAAGTATCTTCAGGGCACGTTTCACGCAAGTAGAGAGAATTACAAAGAAGGAAGTGTAAATATACAGGATCAAGAGAAAGCGGTCAGTTATAATAAGTAAATCTATTTATGATTAAAGATTAAAATTGTTAAATAAATGACAAACATGATTTTTCTAAATTATACAGTATTGAGAGGAAGTATCGACATTTCACCCACTCGGGAAAGTGTCTGGCGTTCCAAATGGCATAGTTACTGGTCAATGCCAGCTTGCCAATTGTTTTTTATATGTTTTACATCATTTCCATTTCATTTAATTATTTTTATTTTTTCAGTTTAAAAAGTATTATTTAATTTCGAAACTTGACTGCTTAGACCGACACTAAATAATGCAAAGCACAACGTGTAACAAATAAAATAAATATTCAGAATACATGATTAGCTTTTCTGTTGCTTTTAATTTCTTCAAAATGCCTTCATTACTTTTAAAATATATTTTTACTGTACATCATTTCCAGGTATTTATCAAAGGTTTGGCTAATTTGAACCGTTCAGTTCATGGGGATGTTGTTGCTGTAGAGATGCTACCTGAAGACGAATGGACTTGTCCGTCATCATTAGTAATGGTGGACAACTCCAAGAAAGATGAATTTGACGACGATGACTTTAAAAATGTGAGTGTTTGTGTGGCTATTAAAGTTAGATATCATTTGAGGCATGTCATGGCGAAATGGTTAAGTTGTCGCACAGTCCAGTATTGAGTAAATGAGCTTTAAAATATGGGAGTTCAAAAAATTGTCTAAAAATCCAAATTTGCTTTTCATTATAGATCAACAGTTTATTGTCTTATTAATCATGTGCCAAAGTATTAGTTCTGGAAGTGGTCAACAAACTGTTTATTTAATATTATTTTGATAGTTCATTCTATTAAACAATGTATGCACAAATAACTTTGAAAGGCAATTACTCAAAATTTTGTTTATCTTGATTCTAAGACTATTGTACATTCACTTTCCAATAACTTAGACTTGAAATGTCCAATTTCTATGAATGACCCCTCATTTTAAAGATCACATACTCATTTATCTGAAAATACCAATAACTTGAATTTCAATATTTGCTACAACTTAGCCATTTTGCCACAACATGCCTCATTTGATCTTATCAGTCTTTACTCGGTATAATGTAAGTTATGTTTTAAGATGGGGCCGTTGCGTCAAATCATATTTGATAATAAACTTTTTGTGAACAAATGATAAACAGCATTAGTAAAAAAAAGTTGGATAAGAATTAACCTGCAGTGACTTTGAAAACCCATACAATGGACTTTTCGCTAAGCCCTGCACCTTGAATTTTTTGCCGAGGTTCCCAAAAAATATGTATGCAGACACATGCATTTGGGGCTCAAGCACATATTCCTGGCTGTGTTCTGATTGGTCATTAAGTTTGATCGCCACTCTGGGAAGGTCCAAATAGTAAAAAAAAACCAACAAAAACATATACTGTACACTTCATTAGTATTCCTTCTGATGTTATATCCCATTCCCTTTAAATTTGTGTCTTGAGAATATCATAGTGATGATGTAGTATTTAAAATCAAGATCTCAGTTGTTAAATGAGGCATGTTTTGGCGAAATGGTAAAGTTGTTGCACAGTCCAGTATTGAGTAAATGAGCTATAAAATATGGGAGCTCAAAAAATTGATAAAAAATCCAAATTTGTTTTTCACTATAGGTCAACAGTCTAATGTCTTATTAATCATATCCCAAAGTATTAGTTCTGCAAGTGGTTAACAAATTGTTTATTTAATGTTATTTTTCATAGTTCATTCAAATTAAACAATGTATGCACAAATAACTTTAAAAGGCAGTTACTCAAAATCCTGTTTATCTTGACTCTAAGAGTACTGTACTTTCACTTTCCAATAACTTAGGTTTGAAATGTCCAATATGAATATATGACCCCCTCATTTCAAAGATCACATACTCAGGTATTTGAAAATACCAATAACTTGAATTTACATTTTTGCTACAACTTAGCCATTTTGCCACAACATGCCTCAAATGGGGTTCCTCCTTTCCCTTGTGTGTGTGTGTGAGTGAGTGAATTACTCACAGCTCTGTGAGAGTTATATAATTTGGGCTAGCATAAAAACATTTGCATTGTTGAATCATAGCAACACTGTTTGCTTTTTAGTTGCTGGGATCTGGGCTCAAATCTTAGACAGATTTTATTTTTCACCACTGAAGCTCTGTCCACACTATCGAATTTCATGTGATAAATAATTGTCATATGCTCACAAATATGTTACATAAATTTTTTATAATGTGGACAGTGTTTAAGCGTCATTCTGTAATCAGCAAGTTTACTTTGAGGTGAATTAAGTGACAGTAAACTGAGACGTCCTGTCATTGTCTCTATAGGAATCTGATCCGGAGAAAAACCCAGTGAGAAAGGAACTTAGAGAACCCACCGGTAGAGTTGTCGGTATTATCAAACGTAACTGGCGGCCGTACTGTGGAATTCTTCAACCATCATTATTGAAAGAAGTAAGTTTTTTTTCGACTAACCTTTCATAGTTTATGTATTTTATTTCATTTCTTTAGGCTCGAGTGCCAAGGATATGTCAATCAGCGAACTTAATTACTTCCTTGATATACCTCTATCACATATTGTAAATGACCTGTTAACTGCCATAGCACTATAACAGTATAATAACATTTGTGTTGGCTTCAGTGCAGCATACATTTGTGAGAGGGATTCATTCAAAAGTAGTCCTTATTAATTATTTGAGTGATAGAATTGAATGGGGACCCAAAGAGATGAAAGCATATCCATGGTCCAGCACATACCAGGGGCGGATTTAGGAGGGGGGCGGCCTGGCCCCGGCCTCCCCCTTTTGAGAGGTAAAAAAAAGAAAAAAAAGAGAGAAAAAGAAAAAAATGATAGCCCAGAATGCCTTTGGACATTTCTGGATCTGCCCCTGCATACACACACACACACCCACCCACCCACACACACACAGTGCACACTGCCAGTTAAGCTTGACTGACTTGGCTATAAACTATAAACCTTTTAAAATATCATATTGTGTACTAATAATAGTTGTCTTGCTTATCTTTATTTGATATCTAGGGCACACGACATCTTTTCATAGCAGCAGAGAAGCGAATTCCAAAAGTGAGAATAGAAACAAGGCAATTTGAGTCCCTCAGAGGCTGTAGAATAGTAGTGTCAATAGATAGCTGGCCTAGAAATTCTAGATACCCTTTGGTAAGTTAAATGTTAAAAAGTTGAGTAAGGATTAAATAAACTTGTCAAAGAAAATGATTGCACCCTTCAATATAGAAAATAACATTAAAGATAGATGGATAATGTAACGATTGATTTATAATAAATATACATACAGCAATATATATACTGATCACATCACTATAGCAACTGCTGACTACAACACTTTGATTATATTATGAAAAGAGGACGATTGACTTTAAAGCAATTAGAATAGCGCTAGAGGAAAATAGTTATACATACAGTAGGTTAGATTATTGCATTCAAAAATCTTTTTTCTTGCATTAATCTAATCTTCGTATAAATAATGTTTCACTTGTGTATGATACATAACTATTCTGATTGCTTAATATTTTATATTTTAATGTTCATTTAGGGTCATTTTGTGAAAAAGCTCGGAGAGATTGGAGACCGCGAGACTGAGAACGAAGTACTTCTACTGGAACATGACATTCCACATGAAGTGTTCTCCTCAAACGTTTTAAGCTTTTTACCCAAACTTCCATGGACCATCACACAAGAGGTAAACTATGCTTTGTGTTTACACAAGAAATCTGCCTGAAAAATTTGTTAAATGTGATTGCATACAACATTCTGTATATACATCACTTAGTTGTAAATTCATATATTCCACTTTACAGCTGATTAAGTATTCACTTAAGGATAAGCATATACAATACAATGTAATTTTGGTTTATTTGTCAGACTCGACATACATTGAGTTTGGTAAGATTTTAATCGTCTCAGATTAACTTGGATCAAACATATTAAGAATTCATGTCAAATATTGTCAGATGTGTCTGATAGACAAAATTTTGACAGTGCTTGTCTGGCTTTAGAGCTCCGCAATTACTGTTTCCCTAGAAACACATTAGACTAAAGTAGTCTGCACTAGCAACTGAGTATATTGTTTTCAAAGTAGCTGAATAATTTGCATGCCCAGTAAAGTGTTTTTACACATGATTGTTTATAATTGAGATTAAATGTTTTATTTATGAGTTTTGAATATTCATGAGCTTATTGACCTCCTGTTCTTTGCAGGATTATGAAAGTCGTGAGGATCTGCGGCATCTTGATATATGCAGCGTGGATCCACCCGGTTGCACGGATATTGATGATGCGTTGCACTGTAGGAAGTTGGATAATGGTCTGTTGGAGGTTAGAAGCAAATATTTTCTAAAGCTTTATTCACACTATCACATATTATGTGACAATTCTGCCTGATGATTTCACATTACACCCAAATATATTCATATCACAAGTATTTGTCTCATGAAATTTGAGTGTGTACAGACCTTTATGTTTTTTGTACTTTACGTTTTGCTTTACTTAAGCTTTTATCATCATTACTTCATCGGGCTAGTGGGCCGGTCAGGCAGATGTTTAGAGGACTGTCACAGAGGTGATGCCCTCTATCATTAGTTCTAGAACAGGATTGGAGCTAAGCAAAACATCCTATAACCATCAAATGACTGCTTCTCTCACCCTAATAAACCCAAGTTGACAACCATAAAAACCTGCATAAGTTGTCATTTTTATTAAGCCTAAGGCTCTGTCCTCACTATCAAATTTCATGACAAATAAATGTGATGTGCACATTATATGTGCATGATGATGTCATATACCCAAATATGGGCATATCACATAAACTTTGATAGTGTAGACAAACTTCTAGTGTTTAAGTCTTCAATTCCTACAAACAAATGAGTTTGCTGTATATTTTAATAATTTATTTCTTGAAGAATATTTTTTTTTATTTTTAGGTCGGTGTCCATATTGCTGATGTGAGTCATTTCATCAAGCCAGGGAATGCCTTGGACGACGAAGCTGCAAATAGGGGAACAACAGTCTATCTTGTAGACAAGGTATGGATCTTACGAGAACTTATGATATACTGTATGCTGCCCTCTGTATACTTATGTCATAATGTATTATTCTAATGTATGTTAACCCTGCATATATGCTGCCGTCACAAACCTTTTGCATTATAATGGTCTATTCGACATGGTGGTTGTTCCAGAATTTCCACGTAGATCATAGGTGTCAAAGTTCAAAAGTAATTGTAATTGCAAGAGGGTGTCCTACACTGCATTATTACAGAATTTGCATCTAGAAATCACGGTGAACACTATCATGTTTTAAGATATTTGGTCATAATGTGATACCCTTTTCGAAAATATTTTTCCTAATTGAGGATGTTTACCGTTGTATTCCCAGAGGATTGATATGGTTCCTGATCTGCTGAGTTCAAATCTGTGTTCTTTACGTGAGAAAGAGGAGCGCTTTGCATTCTCCTGTATCTGGGAGATGACAGAGGATGCTGAAGTGGTTTCAACAAGGTTTTGTAAAAGTGTCATCTGCTCAAGGGTAAGGGTTAATTTTTTATTTTGAAAATGATGGTGGTGGTGATGGTGATGCTGGTAGCAATGATGATGGTAAAGGTAGTTGTGTTAAATGTGCTGGTAATGGTGTTTATAGGTGCCGTGGTAGATGTTGACATTCTAGTGGTGGTGGTGGTAGTGATGCCGGTAGCAATGATGATGGTAAAGGTAGTAGTGTTAAATGTGCTGGTAATGGTGTTCATAGGTGCCGTGGTAGATGTTGACATTCTAGTGATGGTGGTGGTGGTGGTAGTGATGCTGGTAGCAATGATGATGGTAAAGGTAGTTGTGTTAAATGTCCTAGTAATGGTGTTTATAGGTGCCGTGGCAGATGACGTTGACATTCTAGTGCCTAGAAGAAATATTTGATAAATCTATTTTGTATTAATATTTAATCTTGACCTTTCATTGTTATATTGGCAAATTTCATTTTTATTTAATTTGTGTTTTAATGTTGAAATTGGAGTTGGAGGGGCATACCACATCTGGTGATAGTAGTTTTTGTACCACTTTTGATACTCCTCAGTCCTCCCCTTTCTTTGTTGATTTTGTTTTGTTTGTTGCACTGTACTGAAAGGAATAAAATAAAATAAATAAAATAGTGATGATGGTGTTGGTAGTGGTTTTAGGTACCGGTTGTTGTTAACACAATGATAACTGATGCCGATGATTATTGTGGTTGTAGTAGTTATTGACGAGGCGGTGGTATTGATGATAATGGTGGTGGTCGAAATGTGGTAGTGGTAATCCTGACAATGGTGATGGTATTGATGATAATGGTGGGGGGGAATTCCATGGTTACCATACTTCTGATGATGATGGTGATGTTAATTGTTGTAGGGCAGTGATGATCATAGTAGTGGTGGTGGACGTGGTAATAATAATAATAATATGTCGTTCTTATATAGCGCTTCATGCACAAAGCCTCTAAGCGCTTCACATTACTACCCCGGTCATTGGATCAAACACATATAGAACACATACTCAACACCAAATTGAATTATTAAATTATATTATTATTCCATAATATTGCAGCTAGTAATCAGTGCAGTTGTGTTCGAACCTACCAGGTACCCACTTGTACTCCTGGGTGAAGAGAGGCAACCGTAGATAAAATGTTTTGCCCAAGGACACAAGCGATTTGCACAGTTGATATTGGATATTGGAGGTTGAAAAAGATAATGGTTGCGGATGTTATGATTGTGGTGTTGCTTGTGCTGGTGGTGAAGATTGTATTGCTGGTGACATTAAAAAAGTCCTGAATATTTATTATTTTTCAGAGTGCGTATACATACGAGCAAGCACAGTTGAAGATAGATGATAAGTCGCAGTCCGATGCACTAACGTTAAGTCTGCGTAACCTGAACAAGTTGGCTAAGATACTGAAAAGAGGGAGGATGAGCAATGGGTAAGATGCAGTAATTATCATTGGCTAGATAAATAAAAACATTGCAATATACTATATATGAAACTGGTTTGCACAGTGGTTTGTGTTTCGGGCTAATAAATTTTGACGTCAAAATCTTGATTGCTTGCTGTGAATATTGCTTGTTTTTTTTTAGGGTAAGGCATTCATTCATTTATTTCATTCATTCATTTATTTTTTATTTCAAACACAACAGCAAGGTAAAAATACAATCAAAACAATCGAGAAATATAAAAATAAACAATTCATGATATTAGGTAAAAAACATTTTAAAAGGAATGCATTCACAGTATACCTAAAATATAGTTTTGAGATTATATTATATTGTTGTTGTTATTACTATCACAGCCATTATTATTATTATTATTATTATTATTGTTATTATTACTATTATCATCATTATTGCCATCATCATTTATACACTATATTACAATCATCATTCCTTACTAGATTACTGTAATAAGTTGTAAAAGCCATCATTTACTTTGTAGTATTTTAGTACAGGTATGTTATGTATAGGATTGTCTCTCTAAGCCCATATAAGTAGGCAGTTTATGTTCTCACATTGAATGTTGATAGGTTTTATTCATTACATGTTGTAGAATGTCTGGTAAAGCATTTTGCTTCAGTGGTGTATGTTGTAGTCTTGCAATGGAGGGGTTACAAATTGTCTGATAAAACACTGCTTCAGTGTTTTATTTCTTTCGATGGAGGGGAAAACGGGGCTGATGGTGGTGCAATGGTGAGGACTCAGTGATTAAGTGGGGGAGGGGGCACTCACTGGCAATATAAGTTGATTTCTAACTACTTAAGCATGCTATATTTTGCTTCAAAAATTTGCAATGGGTGGGAGGGGGACGATTTTTGAGAGAGGGTGGGGGGGTTGTGCACCGCCATAGATACACCTCTGCTTTGCTCTATTTACCTCGTTCTTTGTTGGGACATTAAGCTTCTCAATAGTGATATAGACTAATTATTAACAATATAAATATTAATTTAATCCAGAGTTACTTTTGTTCTGTACCAAAGTATCAATTATTTACAAGTGACAACAGCTGTTTATATTTTGACATTCAGTGACAGTACTGTACATAAATATAAATGTATTACTATAATCATTTTGTAGAATTATGAATATTGTTCATCAGATTTTAATAAGAGCTTTTTTTTACATCTTGACAAAGCTACGTTAATAAAAAAAATACACTAACTAATATTCGTTTTGTAGTATGTTAAATATTTTTGTTAGACTTTAAAAACAGCTATTTTTATTCTAATTTAAAATTCATTTGATAGAATTATAAACTATTTATCAAATTTTAGTAACAGCTGTGTTTAAATTAGGGTTAGGGTTGTAAATATAAACAATTATTACAAATATGGAAAAAGAAACAGATAGAACAAAGAAGGGAAAAAAGAAGACAAAATATGAAATGAATATATTGTGCTAAAATAGTAGACACTTACTTCATTGCAATAATAACAATAGTACTCTAATAATGGAACAATAATGTAATTATTTATTTCTACAGTAACTTTAATTAATCATGCAACTACTTCAAATTTTATTTCATATATATATATATACTGTATATATATATTTTTTTTTTTTTATTATCTTTCTTTTATTTTTTTTATTAAGGAGAGCATGAGTTAAGGCATTTGTTGTTCATTTGCCTATTTTGCTTATCCCTTTTTCATTTTCAATGATACATACTCTGATATTTGATTTGTTTAACTTAATTGACATAACTTAAGTATTTCGACTGTATGTTATAATACGTAATGTTTATTTTCTTTAATTGTATGTTGAATTGATTTTGAAATAAATGATTAAAATGAGATTTAGTCAAAAGTGCACATACATTTAAAAATGCTATCAATTAAATTACTTACAAATTCTAGGTAGTAGTCAGTTGTGGGTGGGTCAGGAGTGGATCCAGAGGATTCTTGAGGTGGGGGGAGGACACAAAATGAAGTTCATGCCACCACGCCCACCTCAGCCCACCATGTTTGGTGTAAAGAAGTGGTAAATAATCAAGCTCTCCTTTTGCCCACTGCTGGATCGCTACTGAACTCATGGGTGTGCTCCTTTTTTCCTCTTTCCTCTCTTTATCTAAAATCTCCCTCTTGTTTATTTTTCGGTTTGACTGGAGGGAGGGGGTAAGTATGTTATTATAATATTGCGTTGATGTATAAGCAATTTAAAGAAGGACAATACAGACCATCAATAGATAGGTACAGTAAAGTGCATTTAAAAGTTTGGGAGTAATTAGTAAAATTTCTCAATAGCTATATTGCCTCACAACCTTAGTAACATTTTTTTATATGTGTACGGTATATTAAACCTGCTATGACTGCCTTTGTTTCTTATCAGAGCTTTGACATTAGCTTCGGCTGAGATTCGTTTTAACATCGATTCAGAGACGCATGACCCCATTGACGTGCAAGCTAAGCAGATGCGGTACGTATATTTTGGTTTTATATTTCGCAGTTATTCAAAAGCCAACACCAGCTACCAAAGAAACAAAATAACAACGGTTATGGTGCATTCACCTTCTAGGATTGGCCAACACTGAGCTGTGGCTCAAGCACTTGTCAATTGGCCTAGCATACACAAATGAATGTCTGCCATCCTTAAATATGTTTGATGAGACCATGATCAGATATCAGCTATCGGTAGATTTCTTGTCGATTTATAATCAGGCAGTACTGGGAACTGATAACTTGATTTCCTGCTCCTCAACAAGTCATTCATTCGTAGAAGCCTTTATGAAGAAAGCCTACCTAAAATGGCCTTGATTGGCACAAGACCAGCTAACTTCGGCTTTGAATATAGGAAGATTGGATTGTGTTCAATTGAGTATCCAATGCACACAATGTTTATATAAGTTGTAGGCCTAAGTTCTAGTACCTTTAGCCCAGCTATATGTTTATTAATTTTCAGTATTAAATCAATAAAGTAATAAGAAAAGAAAGAAGGAAGAATAGAAAAGAAACTTGGAGCAGATGAATATTATCCAAAAATATACAATAATAATCAATATAACATTATTGTATTTACATTTTTGTAATAAATTTAAGGCACTAATCATCAGATTTTTCAGTGCCGGCAGCCTACACGTTTCATAATTCGACATCGATGAAACAAATAATGGGCTATTCCTCTAAGCCCGGCCCATTGGATACAGCCAGATTTGTGAAAAAGATATCAATACTGTATTATGAAAATTAATGAAATATATAAATGAACATAAAATGAATGATCATATTTTATCGCTTTATATCGTAGAGACACCAATTCCATGGTCGAGGAGTTCATGTTGCTTGCGAACATCTCGGTTGCGAAGCGAATCTTGCAGAGTTTCTCGGAGTGTGCTCTCTTGCGTCGACATCCCATTCCTCCACCTTCAAACTTTGACACGATTATCAAAGCAGCCAAGTCTATGGTAAATTTGTCTTAATATTTGTAGTAGAATATTCCATTTCCAAGAGGGTAGGTTTTCAAATAGTCTAAAAGGGCTAACTTTGCTGTGGAATGCTAAAGGAAAGGTGGCACTTAAACTATTTGAGTTTTTCATTAACACAAACTTTGTTAATGTTTCTCATAACACACTAGTAGAGCTTACCATATTAAAGTATTAAAGTTGATTCGTATATTATAAATTTTGGAACTACATTATCTATTGAGTAGACAGTTTTTAATTAATATGTTTATTCATTTTTACATTTCCTAATTATATACTGTAAAACCTGGGTTTTGACTGGCTTTTTTTCAAGATGGGCTTCTTTTCGAGGCTACTTTCGCAAGGTAAAGAGGGGGAGGGGGGATTCATTTCAAAATGAATGCTGTAAATTTTGAGAATTACTACTGCTATTAACAGTAAATAGGGCCACTGTAATGTTTGTATCATCATGGAGTGTATTAACTGGCATTAAATACCTAAACTAACCAAGCATGTTTTTAATTTATTTTGTTGCTCTTACGAGATGGGCTTCTTTTCGAAGCTAATTTTGCAAACTAAAGAGGATACTTCAATTCGAGATGAGCCTCTTCTCCAGATTAAGCCCTTTGGGCTTCTATTCAAGGTTTTAATATGTTAGACTATAGTGCTTCAATGTCTGAAAGGCCTCTAAGCACTTCATATTATTATTGGATCAAGCACATATGAACCACATACTCAGCTCCCTGGGGAGAATCCATAATGCTGCAGCTATAATCAGCGCATTTTGTGCGTGAACCTACCAGGTACCCACTTGTGCTCTCCTGGATGGAGAGAGACAATTGTAAGTTATTGCTCAAGCAAAATTCAAGCAAGGGATTGAACCTCTGACCTCGGTTGAGAAACAAAACTGCTGCACTAAACCCCTCCAATATAAGTTAGTTTCAAAACTGGAACTTTGTATGCAGCCATCTAGAAGAAAGAAAGCATTATGAATTTGAACAAATGGATAAATTAATTCATCATTCAACTTCAGACTTTCTGTTTTTACGAGGTTGACATAATTATCTGTCATTACTTTTCATCCAGGGTTTTACCATTGTGATTGACAGCGGCAAGGCGCTTTCAGACTCGTTAGATGCGGCTGTCAAGCCAGACCGGCCTTACTTCAATACGTTGCTTCGCATGATGACTACGCGGTGTATGACGCAGGCGTTGTATTTCAGTAGCGGTACTGTTCCTGAATCTGATTACCACCATTTTGGTCTGGCAGCGCCGATTTACACGCATTTTACATCACCAATTAGAAGGTAAATATCATAATCATTGGAAAATGAAATAACATTCAATTCTTTTAATTATTGGTGAATAATTTTTACTCTTTCATCTGAAAATTAATGCATACGAGTACAATTTTTTGAAGTTAGGGATGTCTCCTGGTTCTATTGACCAATATCACAACCTTGTTATCTCATTTAAATATGCAAGCAAATCACGGCGGTTTCAATATAAACAATAAGTAGTGAGCCCTCTGTTGGTCACTATTATACATTTTAGATATTCTCGTAGTTGGGGGCGCTAACGCAGAAGCGATATTTTAATTATTCTCCATAAATGGGTTTTTAAATGACCAACCAACAGCTTTAAAATTAAAAAAATAATGAATATTCATGATATTATCGAAGAAGACATGCTAAACAGTTCCGTAGTATAACATAGGTACGATGTCATGGCTCCTGATTTTACGTGTGA